CACATTTCTGTTATGGAAATTGATACAAAATTATAAAATGTTGCAATCTGAAATAAAAAACAAGTTAAACATTTTATCTTGTAAAATTAATTTCATGTCGTTATTTAGCCCGTGGTACAAATGGGCTACTTCCCGGCATGGTTCACATTCCCAGTGTTAGTGACCGTAATGGTGAAAATAAAGGTTAATTCGCCGGATTGGATTCATGCAATGGTCGTCCGAGAGTGATGAGAAGGTACGTTACTATTTTTTTTTAATGGATATGTGCAGTTTTTCAGTCTTTGTGCGATTCTGAAGGGATAAAAGACGCGTGAGAAAATTCGAATCGAGCGGAGGATTGTGGTCACTCTTGCATTCCTTTATTTATTGTATAATACCGTTAAGGTAATTTCATGTAGTCAGAAATTTCGTCGTGCTTTATTAATAAAACTGCAGACTCCTGTGATTCGATACACCTACTGATTTTCACTACCACAAGATGTTTAAAAAATATAAGTTTACACAAACTCAAAATTTGATCAGACTACTCCAAGATGACTGCAGGGGTCACGCTAACAGGGGAAGTGGGACAAAAAAAGTCGCCAAAGAACTGTAAATCATCGCCTTCTGTTAGGAAAGCGAAAATTACTTCATCCTCGATTTTTCGGACGTAAAATGGCTTTAGATTATCAATTTTGAAATGCCCCTCGCAGTAGCCAGCAAGTTCAGGCACTGTTGTAATTCAAGGTGAACTGCAACAATATATAGTAATTTGTGATCGATGAAGAGTGTTTTCTTATGTATTTTTTTTAAATTTTTATAAATGGACATTTTAACGGTATTAATTGCGAATTTTTTTGATAAAATAAATTTTGAAACCGTAAACGAAGTTGTAATGGCGGACATCGCTACGTATACGATATTCCACGTCATTAAACTGTCTGTATTCGTAAATAATTGGGCAAATAGACTCGGGAAAATATATAATATAATGAAAACAAAGCTTAAATATTATGTCATTTAGCCTAAATACTTAATAATTTAGGTCAAAAACACGTGATAATCTGTTGTGGAATTCGAAACAAATCCGCAGCGTCCAAGTTGTTTCTGACCTACCGTTAAGTTCGCCAAATTACAAAAGATATATATATATATATATATATATATATATATATATATATATATATATATATATATATATATATATAGTGTAGCAAATATTATTTAACCCACTTATATCATTAATACGAGTAGGTAGACAAATAATTCAACCATAAGAATGTAGTCCCATTAATGAATTTATAGCAATAAAGTAAGAAAGCGAATAGTTTTATTAAGAAAAACCCGCTTTACAAAAATAGACACTAACTTGGTGCAATACATGTTCGTGAATATTTCGTTTTTTTTTGGGGGGGAGGATCCAGTTTAGTGACCTTTAGTGGTGTGGTGTCTATGAATAGTTACAGTAATATTTTATTGGTAACAAGGAAATCAAGACAAAGAGTATGTTTTGAAGTTGCTAGTGTATTTAATCATATCTACATGAATTAGGGGTTGTTTCAAAGAAAACTACAATTATTTTTTGACTGCAATTTACATAAAACTTGACAAAATAAAATAATTAAGTGGTAGTTTATTAGGAATTTTTACTGATTTCAGTTAAAATAATTACAATGTATAGCTTATGCTGTGCCTTTTAAGCCATATCCCCAATTTGCCTTTATCTTAATCCAAACAAGTACGATGAATATAATGCATATGAATATAATAATTTGTATGTATGTACAAAATGGGTTGATAATAAACATATGACATATTTTTAAACTTGAAAATAAGGCATTGTTTAAAACTTAAAAGCATACTGAGAAATGGAGCACATAAATAAGACTATATATATATATATATATATATATATATATATATATATATATATATATATATATATATATATATATATATGCAATAAACTGACGATGAACAGTACGAAACTAGTAACTAACTAGCCTAAGCGCTTTCGACTCTTAATGAGTCTTTTTCAAAGGCAAATACAAAACATAGTTACGACAAACAAATAAACACAAAAACGTTGTGTTTGTAAACCTCTACATTTCTGTCTTCACGTGTGCTAAAACTATAAATACAACCAGCTTGCATAGACTAGTTGCGGAAACTGAAAACGTTGTATAATTCCCTAAAAGTCTACAAGCCAAAGCGACATCTATTTTTACTTTGTGTACATATGTAACGCAGATTATATCCCGGATATTTGATTCTATACCGGTTATTCTTATAGTAAAATTGAAGGATAATAAGAAGATTTAGAAAATCTTAAATTCTACTAGTGCATAGTTTTCATTTTCTAGTCTTCTTGGTTTAGACCGCTTGGTTTCAATGTTCTAAGACGGCGTATCCAGTATGATTCCTTTTCCTTCCTGGTTTCAGAACTCCAGCTGTGGTTGTTAGCAATAGCGATAAGTATTATATCACTGAAAGTGTGGCCAGGGGAGGAGAAGTGTTCTGCGACCGGGCTTCTGTACAGCTTTTTTGTCATCCAATCAGATCTATGAAGGTTTATCCTTATGTGTAGCTTTTCAGTTTCTCCCACGTACTGAAGGCCACAGATCTTACATGTGATGAGATAAATCACATTCTCTGTTTTGCACGTTTTGTTTGGACCATGTATGTTTAGTTTTTCTTTAGTCACTGTGTTAGTGAATGTCTTGGTCTCTATCATATGTTGACAGGTTTTGCATCTTTTATCGCCACAGGGTCCAGATTGACTAGGTTGGTTTTGACTAGCGATTGTTGTTAGCTTGGCCCTGACTAGGATGTCCTTTAGGTTTTTTTGGTCTCCGGTAAGCTACTACAGGTTTGTTCGGAAGTATTAGGTTTAGTATGTCTGACGATTGCACGGTTGGCCAGTGGTTTGCGATGATTTTACCTATTTTTGGATTGTCTGGGTGATAGGTCAGAATAAATGGTATCCTATCAACCTTTTCTTTCTGTCCATATCTGAGTAGGTCATCACGGTTTGTTTGTTTGGCCCTTTGGATTGCCTCTGCAATCAGGTCTTTGTCGTAGCCTCGGTAAATTAAATGTTTAGCCAGTTCTTCAGACCTTTCTAGGAATCTTTCATCGTCGGAGCAAATTCTGCGTATCCTCAGTGCCTGGCTATATGGAATGTTCCTAATGCAGTGTTTTGGATGACAGCTGGTTGGGAGAAGATACTGGTGTTTGTCGGTTGGTTTCGAGTAGATGTCTGTGTGTAATTTGTTTTCCACCAGTCTGGTTGTTGTGTCCAGGAAAACATGGTTTGAGTTGGAAATTTCTGCCGTGAATTTTATTGAAGGATGGAAGTTGTTTGCCTTTGATATGAAGTCATCCAGACTTTCTCTTCCATACTGCCACTTCATTTCTATATCATCGATAAAGCGTACCCACTGGTATGGTGTACGCTCAACCGATGCTAAGAGCTTTCCCTCAAGTTTTCCCATGAAAATGTTAGCATACGAAGGGGCCATTTTAGTACCCATTGCAGTTCCATTGATTTGTAGGTAGTTTTCTTCATTAAATTCAAAGTTGTTGAGTTTTAGGACAAGCTCCAGGAGTTGGATTAAGAAGTGTGTGGGTGGATTGTTTACAGTTCTTGTTTCCCATGCTTCGCTACATGCCTGTAACCCTTCGTTGTGCGGGAAATAACATCGAGGAGATCATTCCCTAGATAACGATCGCCTAATCAACACGACACCATGAAAGTTACAAAATTCAAATTAAGTTAATTGTATTCCTCCCTTACATAAATTAGATCCCTTCATGATTCTGTTATGTTTGTTTGGGTTCTTTTTTCGGGCAGGCGTGGGGGTGGTGTTCTTGTTTTTTTTTAAGTTCTATATGCGAGTTTTAGTTCTAATAGCTTTCAGATTTGAAATCTGTGACATATACTCCAATATTTTATTATAATTAAATGAAATATGAAATTTTGATTATTCCTACTATACATATATCTCACAGGAAGAAGGGTGTTTTTGTTCAGAAGCTACAGCTTCTCAGATCGAAATATTTCAGTATTGATTGAATGTGACGAGAAGGCATGCAATCCAAGTTCCTGAGACATAATAAGCAGTCTTCTTTTAGTCAGTGTGTCTCACATGTCTCTTACGTTCTTTCGTTGCTTCCAGAAACATTCGTATATTTACGGATAATTATTCACAACGGTCTTCTTTCTGTTCTTTTTTTTTTTTTCATCTTTATTTATCTGTCTATCAGTCAGTGGGTTATTATGGAAGGTAGGATACCCAACATTTCGTCCTAATATACCTTAATTACTTATTTCTTTAATCTCATAATAATAATATGATTGGAGAGAGCAAATTGCTAGTAATTTCACGGAGAATATGAGGTCTATTTTTGTCTTTCTGAAGTACCATAACGCTCATAGTATGTTCAGATTTCCGTTGGGGTAAGGCAGTCGCAGAACTTACGGGATGCTTGCCAAATCTGGAACGTTCATTCCGAACATGAACACATGTTATTGTTTATTTAACTCGTTCATTTATACAATATGCTCCAAGTCAGTAGTTCCCAAACTGGGCGATATAACCCACTTGGTGGCTGTGGGATTACGTGGGGTGGGGGTGGTTAATGAGGAATAATGCTTTGTACGGGTTAAGGTAAGAAGCGCTGAGGATAACCAAGGGGGAGGGGTACGAAAGAGTTTGGGAACCATTGTTATTGCCAGTGATATGTCACTGTGATGCAGCAAAAGATGTGCAGGAGAAGGTATGATTCAAGTGTATGTGTTTATTTTTAACGTAGCTTTAACATTTTTTCAGTCATATCGCTACAATGTTTGCAATGTGGCAAAATATAGTGATGTCTAGCACTGGGCATCATAGCGATGACATATAGCATGATGTATCACCCAGTAACATTATCCGTGACACCAGGCCAACCAGTCCTAACACCAACTTATTAATGCTGAGCGAGGCTGTTTTTAGTACCATTTTTATGAGGCTTTGATATGACTCGACCGGGGTTCGAACCTGTGACCTTCCGCATTGGAGGCAGACGCTCTATCTGCTAAGCCAGCGGAGTGGTTCAAGTTTGTTTTGGGTATGTTACAAGAACGTTTTCCAGAAATGCGAGCACGCTTCCACAGTAAATATATGCAATTACCTGCACTCAAGCGAATATGTGAATACGCCTAACACATCGGAAGAACAACGTCTAGTGCTGTGCGAATGCATGGGAACGGCGTTCACTTTTTTTTGCGCGTTCCCTTGCTGTGTTTGCGCTTGCCATTTTGCTCCGCCTCAGCATGTAACACTTTTTTATTGTATTTTTTCACTTCTTTATTTAGCACTACACCACTGCTCTTGAGTGGTGAATATAGTCCTTGCCGGAAAGGAAGACTGCATGATGACGTTATAGTTTCTGATGTACTTTATTGTAATTTGCAATTGAGTCAACATCTGGTATGTGGTATGGGACTCATATTTATTGAAACTAAATTAAGATAATTTAGTTAACCATTGAGCAGAGTGTATTTAAATACTACAATTATAAAGTTAACATAGTTCTCATTTTAAGAAGCAAACATCGTCATATAAATATTTTGTTTTTTGTACTTTTAATTTTTTGTTGGATACAGTTTATTTCCAGATACTCGGACAATGTCCACAAATTCATTGGTTTATGTGATATATTAATTTTATTATTATTTTTTTAATTCTACATTTAACAAGGTGGTATTTTTGTGAATAATAGTCTTCCGCGTTGGATTCGGCTTAAAATCAACTTAAATAAACAGTTGCAAATTGTCAAGTCATATAAAGTCGTTTGCATGTTCGTTTCATAGGAAGCTAAACAAGGAAGCTATTAAAGACTTATGCCCAATTTGAGGACGAAGGATTAATTGTGTATAATGACTTTCAGTAGAACAAACCATCATGCCTGGCAAATTGCAACCAGGTCACTGTGCCCGAAGCTTTATTTTAGTATTCTTGTAATACTACTACTTTTGTGACAAATACTTCGTTACTATTTTCCAAGCAATGAAATAAACACTGAGGTTGAGAGGAAATTAACTAGTCTACAAGAATCAAAGGAGCTTGGAGACGAAACTAGGCTATAAGAAATAAAGATGTTTGTAAAGAATAGAACCTAAGAAACAATGGAGATTACCCCCCAAAAAAATTAGCATAATATGTGTATAAGTGTTTAAACAGATGCCATTTGTGTAGAAGTCATTATAGTGAATCTACGATAATTTTAGTTTGAGTATATATACTCCTCCCCGAGAATTTCGCGTCCTTAAATCCCTATCACACAAATGCTAATAATTTGAGGTTTCAATAGAAATATAGTTACTGAGACTCCGTCCAATTTTTAAACTGTTTGAAATAGTATACAGTAGTTTATTTGTTTTATATGATACGAGGACCAAGCTTCAACCATCAGTTGAATTATGTACTTCCAGGACCGAGCTTGTGAACATCGATGCAGTCTTCACTATCAACTGAACTTTGTACATGTTAGATCCTAGGACCAAACTTGTGAATATATAAAGAGTCTTAAACCATCAGCTGCATTTTATACTCCTAGAAATAAGTTTGTGAATATATGTAGTTTTAATGACAAATTGAATTTGAATATGTTATATCTTTGTGCCCAGTCACCAAAAAAAAAAAAAAACAGAAGAAAAAATATATGAATTACCCTAGGTAACACTATATGCATCAAACAAATAACTTACCCAAATCGTTCTAAAGTATTACCAAAACATTTTTCCCTTATTCCGTGCATGTATGTATGTATGTATGTATGTATGTATGTATGTATGTATGTATGTATGTATGTATGTATGTATGTATGTATATTACGATTTAAAGTTTGATGTACAGGTGGACGGTGGACGCCAATTCCGTTACGGTTTTGATTTTCATTTTCTTTCCTTTTTATTCGTACAACAATCCATTCAAAATTTGTATAGAAATATTGTAATCTTGGTTTACATTTTATGTTTTGTCTTTTGCGGAACAAACTCTCCCGATAGTAATTTGTATATGTATAATCCAAGTTCGCAAGTGAAGAAGAAGAAGACATTTACTAATATAGTGAGTGTTTATCCACCTCATAAAACGATGAAATGTATACTTGAAATTAGAAAGTTTGAACTATGAATTGAAAAAATAACACACTGAATGAAAACTATCGTTTGAACCTAATGGTGAATTTACAGTCCAGTGGTATACTAATAACGTATATAACACCCGGGAGACGATGAAGACGAAAAGGGGTTTGGGCGCCCTGTCTGTTACCCATCCCCCTTGTACGCTAATGTTCCAGTCTCATGGGAAAAAAATTATGCGTACTTTTTAAACAAAAATTCATTCAAAATCACAATTATAACTCTAGTCAATTGCGAAAAATGGGTATATTTAATTAGGTAGCCAATGTTATTTCTCAGGATGGATCAATGTGTGGTATTAATCTCAAATCAATATAAGAAAAATCCCTCAAGCGTTCTTTCATGATTTATAACAAACAATTTGCGCGTTCTTCAGAATTTCTCATAATTATATTTAATTAGCAAACTATGGATCTCATAATAATCTGAGACAATAGATAATTATGCATTTTAGTCATGTAGATCAAGATAAATGGATTCTTAATGAACATTCTGCACTCAGAATGGTTTATCCTTCGGATGTAATTCATAAGTCCTATTATCATATAACACAGCTCTTTTCGTCGGCAGGAAAGGAAAACGCACCAGAATGATTTGAAACGACGGTCAATAACAAAATTACCAGATATAAAATGAACAATATCAACATTCAGCAAGTAATTACATTAATTAATCATTTTTACAGGAAGTAGAACCGAGGATGTACATTGTTGTTTGTAGACAATATATTGTATGCGTTGGTTAAACCAATTATCTACTGTGGAATGTAGGAAAGGTCACTAACGAGTCAGGATTGTGATGCTTATCAATGAAAGACGACGAAAATTTGACACAACTCAGCATAACCTTTTCTGTAATACACTAGCATTAAAATGGTTGACCGATACGTTTATTCTCCATCTTTTTCATTTCTGACATGGGTGGTGGCCACCAGTCAGTCGGATAAAACAAAATGCGGAAAGCAACTTAGTCTAATTATAGTCCTAAAATGTAAGATGTATCACGTTATTTATGTTTTAGTGCTACGTTTTACTGCCCAAAATAAAGGCCTTGTATAACATGTTTCGATGTCATTTGTTATCAGCGTAAATAGTCAGTTTCAGGAATATCTTGCACACATGTCAGACTATCAACACTTATACAATTGTTGTGTAATTAATATACTTACTGTGCTGTTTTATCCTGTGAAATCAAAATCTGTCTGTAGCAAATATATGCATTTTCATCGATCACTGACATTCATTTGCATTTGTTCAAATGCAATGGTATATGAAATATACTATGTTCAAGTAGGTTCTTGTGGGGGAATATATATATATATATATATATATATATATATATATATATATATATATATATATATATATATATATATATATATACTGGAAATCGTGAGGAAAAAACATTCCAGCTTCTGACAGCTGTTGCTAAAGGTTTTTGTTCAATATAGCCCTCTAGTGTCAATAGTGAAAGAAGTTTTAGCACTGCAGGTGCTATTTGCAGCAACAAATAATTGACATGTACACTGAAAAATGGAGGTGCTACTATTTCTTGCAAAGAACTTGGAAGTTATAAGTTTTTGGTATTCAGCGTATGTTTTGGTTGCCCATGTTGCTTTAAATATTAGGAAATGTATCTGACTGTCTTCTAGTCTGTGTTGTCCTATACTTATGAGAGCTTTTTGTAGACCTTCAAACAGCATCTACCAATTCTTTCATCACATATAAAGTCCAGTAAAGGTAAAAAACTCCACTCTCCTCTTTGTTTTAATATTTGGCAAATTCACAGTTATTGTTCGACCTAACTTTTTCAATACAACACACTTGACAGGGTTTATTTACCTTAAATTTAACTTGATCTTTGAGAATTAGGTCAAAATATTTGTGAAATTCAATTGAAACTTGTGTAATTTTGTAAGCCATTTCTTCTGATATGTCAAAACAGATGCTGTTTTAGGCATTTGCAAGTATGTCATCCACAAAGAGCTTTTTCAAAATCATGTCTCTGTCTTGTCAGCTTTATCATCTACAAGTTTTTGTTTTACATTTTGTCATAAATGTGCACAAAATTTGAATGGCGTTTGAAAATTGGTTTCTTCTTCAAATATGTTACTCAATTATATTACCTTTGGAGAATAGTTATGAGGTGGAGAGAGGTACACTCTCTTACCATGGTGATACCATCTCCAGTACAAAATAAGAATTCCCTTCAATGCAGATATTTGTACTGTTTAGATTTGAACTCTTAGTCCAATTGATGAATATGTGCTGGCAGAAACTAAGCAAGGAGATCAAACTAAAAGGGTTATTTAAAAGGAATACTACTTGAAATTCACTACCAGTTGAAGTGGAGTGCTGGATCAGGTTGTTTTTTTTTGGGTTGGGTGGGTGGATCCAAACTTTCAAAAGGACCCTGACTAACCTGGAACAAGAAGCAAAGTAAAAGTTTATTCAGAGTAAGAATATTACACAATAAAAGAATAAAACAATTGTCAAATTTAAAATGACTAGTTACTTTATGTTTGTGTGTGTACATTTTTTTTTACCTGGGGAGTTTCGAAACACTGGAGCACCCATTGTTGTGGCCCTGTACATGCGTGTGCATGTGTGAATGTTTGTGTAACAAAGACATGGCTTTGATTACTCTAATTGTAATTTTTAGATATTTTATCTGGTGCATTTAAGTGAATATAAGACATAGAGAGTCTGCAAGAAGTTTCACTTTCAGTCAGTAATAACATCCTTACATTAAGATCGGAAGTTTTCTTAACAGCAATCTTTTTTTTCATATAAAAAATGAATAATTCATGAAACATCCAACTGAAATCTCCATTATGAGCAGTATCTGGCTCAGATTATCAAGATATGCTTTTGTATATAGTTAAAACTTTATTTTTATTTTGCACTCCTAAAGGA